TATGCAGAAAATGTAATATTCCGATATTATATTATACATTATTATTACTACTAATATTACACAATTTATTTATTAATATAATATTCTGTTAATTAACAACGATGACGAACACTAATCTACCTGTTGTAAGTATTGAAACGAAATAATAGTATAGTATATTGAAATGAAATAACAGTATTTAATGCTCGTTACTGCATGATAAAAACTTAATTTTCGCGAGAATTGATTGTATTATATAAACAATTTATATAAACATTATTATATAAACATATTATATAAACAAAACTCAATCAATACGTTACAATAACGCGCGATTAATATAAGACGTAAAAAGAAAATTAGAACAAAAAGAAACATTCTTTTAAGCCACATCTTATATTATCTTACAATTTTACATTATTTTTTTCTTATCTATGAACAACGTGCCAGATTCTTATTAGCGTCATTTACATAGCGTAACGAAATTTTTCTATTGAGAAAAAAAATGTTATTCACACTTTAATGCGTATTGTGATTTTATATGAATAGCGTTTTTCTTTGTGAAACGAAATTTGTTTTTGAAAGTCGAACTTAATTGAATATTTATACATCTTTTTTCATACAAGGCTTGTTTTCAGTGATTCGTAATTCTTTTCAAAATTTACATATTTTAATAGATAAAATTTTACAACTCTAACTTTAAAGAAAAAGTTATATATGCATGACAATATATAATTATATCCATAAACATATATATTATCCAGATAGCATTAAAATTAAATTAATAATAAGACGTTACCTCTTTATATGTTATATTATATATAGCTCTTTAAAAAAAATAAAAAAATATAAATGTGTATATAGCATAAAAATGACATATAGAAAAATTACACATAATTCAAATGTCTGTCCTAAAATCTGGATAAATAATTACTTGAAGTAAGATTCAGAGATATTGTTAAATAAAAAATACATGTTTGAAAAATTTCAAAATTTCCTCGAAAGAACCTCGTCAACATTATGTCATAATTGTGTGTAATATAATTGTATCTTATATCTCTTTATATAAACTAATAATAAATAAAATATTGTTAAAAATATTTAACAATATACAAATAGATACAAATATACAAATACAACAATATACAAATAGATACAAATTTAATATATAAATTGAGTAAAAAATATAATAAGGTGTTGAACGTCTTATTCCGATATTTTTGTTAAAGTAATTAAAATAAAAAAATTAATATATAAAAATGAACTTAAAATATTATTTTAAGTTAATATTTATTAGAATACTCATTTGTTAAAAAAATTATTATAGTTTTCATTCAAAATGTATGCAGTTTGAAATGTTATTATGTTTAAGATAATTGCTAATATTTTATAGCAATTCCTTTTTGTTCGTGATCGAATAGAGAGAATTACCGATCAGCTAATTATTTATCGTACGGATTTGCTGATGCTGCGCAATCGGCTGTGGGATGACAATTACGCGAGCGCGAGACGCGCGCGTTTAAACGCGTTTTATACACGCGTATATGTCAGCAGGGATCGAGGAGGCTCGACGCGCAAGTGAAAGTCCACGTCGTCGTCCCTGTGTATATCGAAACAAGTCAAAATGCTCGTCCGATCGGTTTACGTTCGCTCGTTCGACAAACGGGCTCGCTGCCCTCCTATGATTGTTACAACGCGACCGGCAAGGCAAACTTGTCGTGCCACTGCACGTTCCACTATTATACATTCCGGCAATTGTATTAACGATGTCAATCCCTTGATATTTTTTCAATTTACGATTTGTTGCAAAATTTGAAACTGTTAAAATTAATAATTATAATTGTTCGTTAAAAAATTACTAACATTTTTGCATTCTTTTTATCAAATAATGAATATTTGAATTAGTCTTGTTATTATATAGTTTATAATAATATATATTCAATAATAAAATAATAATTAATTTTGAAAAAGGTAACTATTAAATATAAAAACTACGCGATATATAAAAGTTCAAAGAATTAACCAAGCTGTAAAAATAGAATATAAATTAATTATAAATCAAATCATTTAAAATTCATTAAATTATTACATAAATTGTCACGTTTTTTATTGAATGTTTCTATACATTAAGTACGATATTAATTTTTTACGAAAATATGTTTTAATTTATGCGAAACATTAGTAACTTTCAAGTTTGCAAAAAACTTGTATAAAAAATTATATAAAAAAAGAAAGAAATATTAGAGAAATATACATATATGTTACTTCATGATTTAAAAATAAAATGATATAAAAAGTTTGAAGTATAAATTTCATATTT